AACATTATTTTTAAGTTTTATCCCTATTTAGCCATACTGTTTTGAGTTTAAAATTAGCTTAATATATCAAATTGTACCACTTTCATGGTATATGAGAAAGACCTGACAATCTGAAATACCTGGAAACGTCAAGTTCTCTTTTGCCGGCTTTGCTGTTTTGTTATAATGAAATTATAGTTGATGATATACACACATGAGGAAGGAGTGAGGGAAAACTAAGCTTTGATAATAAGTTCAGTTAAACGTGTGGTCTTGATTTTTTTTTGGAGAAATTGAGTAGCAGAGAACGGTTAACAAGCCTTGCAGCCTGATGAGGCACCAAGATGTGAAGAGGTCTACACCGTAGATGACAGATGCCTGTTACATGGATGACGATGAAGATAATGACGACAATGATGATGATGGTGCCAACGATGTCGACGACGACGACGACGATGATGTTGACGATGATAATGACGACAACGACGACGATGATGATGCCGACGATGATGCTGATGATGATGATGACGACGACGACGACGATGATGATGATGATGACGACGATAGTGAGGATGATGATGATGCTGGCGATGATTTTGAAGACGATGATGATAATGATGATGCAGACGACAACGATGATTATCATGATGATGATGATGACGTTATTAAGCCGATGAAGAAACTCTAAAGCCCATGGAGTCTTTTACTGGTGAGTATGATAAAACTATTCTAAGCACCAAGTGCCCGTAAAGAGTCATGTCTTTCTTATGGAGAGCCAAAAAAGGAATTAAAAAAAGGCAACGACCAACTATCTGTTATACCTATAATCATCGTTATAAGTGTTGGAAAGGCTGCTACTTTGTACCTCTTTTTTTCCCTTCTTTCCCCCGCCCCTGGCCCAATGTTGAGCAAAACTTTAATGTTTGTGCCGATAATTGTTCTATTATATTCAAACATTGAATACGGGGGGGGGGGGGGGAAATGGAGGATATTTAGCAAAAGAGATAGAAGGACTCTTCTTTGAGGATTAAAATGGACTACGGTGAAGTTGCACAACCTTCCCAACTACTTTTGTTTGGGATTGTAGCTTACTGTCTTTTGGAGGTGTCGGTCAAGTGAGAGTAATGTTAATGTTATTAATGATCCGGGTAAAGGTGGAAAGCAATTACTTTTGTTATGCGGCAATGTGCTTTCCCCACATAGGCATGTTCCCATTTTTACACAGAGAATGCAACAACCTACAGAGAGGCCGTTTACGCAATAAAATGTACTTTAACTTCATTTTAAAAGAGTATTTTGTTGTGTTAATAGATTTTGACCAATCATAAGAGTTGCAAAGAATAGCCAACCTTACCTTTCTCAATGACAAAATAAAGGCCAAAGATTCTTAAATGCATAACCAAAATACTCTCAGAATCTCGGCAGCAGGAAAATAAACCTAGGAGATTCTTATTAGAGAATTAAACAACAAGGTTATCTTCTGCTTTCGTCCTAACAGCTTCCAGAAAAAAAGAGTGCAATTGGGTGTGGTCCATATATTATCATATCGGCGGATGAGTGTTGATGTGTGCTACCCTACTACCCATCATGCAGCTCGAGGAATCAAGCGAAGAGCAACTTTAAACTTGTATTACGATAGACGTTATCATATTCAAGTAGGGTGCATGATTAAACAGAGTGCTTTCCACAACGCGCTAGCACTTTATCTTATAGAACAGAAAAGAGTCGTTTGGTACCCTTGATAATGTAAAGGAGGAAAGCTATTTTACAATTTTTACAAATGACAAAACTTTTTTCGCGAACATTTGTTGTTTCAGTGTAATATGAAAATTATCCGCAATTCGGCTACAACTTGGAACTTCTGAATTCTTCTTAATTAATGCCACAAACGCTGATTTAATTTATAGCTTAACATGTAACATAAACAGCAATAACCTCTTAATTTAATGCATGAAGATTTTCAAAGGTTCTGAGGAAACGTTTTTCCTTGTCTGAATTTTTCAGTGCAAAAAAAAATTAAAGAGTTATAGCGACTGAGTCAAGAAAGATAGGATTTCATAGCTTTCAATCCTTTACATTGGTTCAATGGACATAAAAAATTTACTGAATATCTATTGCGAGCGAAAAGAGCCTTCGACATCATCGCTCGAGCAATTTGAAACGGCGAAAGATACTTAGTTCTTGCTATTCTAGAGTCAGCCTCGTCGACTTAACTCCGATGAGAATTTTTCTTTTCTTTTTTTGACTTTCAGCTAAGCTGAGAGATATGTTTATTCACCTTAAGTTCTTTTTTTCTCGCATTTATATACGACAGGGGCCCTTAAAACCCCAAAGGCAGCACCGTAGCACTGGTCGGGGTTACACTGTCCCTATTTTTTCCAAAATTGTTTTTTGGGGATTACGTGTCTGGCTGCGGTGTATTAAGTCGTTTACTTTTAGATACATTTAGTGATGTATTACGTAATATATCAAACATGAGATGCAGTGTTTCATCACCAGATGAAACACCGAGAAGAGAGTTGAAAATACGACGCGCAGCGGAGTATTTTTGACGAACTTCTCAAACAAAATCATTTTTGAAGGGGAAATTAAGGATGCAAAAATGAGCAGTTTTTCATCAGATATCCAAACACTCATTAAACATTAATTTCCTTTGAATTTTCTTTATGAATTATTTAAGTCGTGAGAGTTTGAGAATTATCAATAAAGTCCACTGTCTAGTACTGACTAAAAAAGCGAGTGTTTGTTATTTTTCTCTGGTTATTCAAATCACGGGAAAAGTCGGGTCACATGACCAAACGAAGATGTGTCTCGAACGTGTGCAAAATCTTTATTTTTGAAATTCACTTTGTGCCTAGTCAAGGTGAAAATCCATCGTGAAAAATCATGAAACATTGACAGTCAGTGAATACAGACTTTCAAACAACTTCGTCGATTTTTATCAATTTTCTGTTAATTAAGTCGTTACACCGTCTTAATAGTATTTAAGATCTGTGACTAATCTATATAAGAAGTATTAAGGGTCGAAGACCTGAATTTTTAAAAGAGAAAATAAAAATAAAAACAATATTGAGAATTTAAAAATTCTCAACATTGTTTTTAAAAATTCTCAATATTGTTTTTATTTTTCTTTTCTCTTTTTTGTTCTTCCAAAAACCACGAAAGTAGAAATAAACGTTAATGCTTAATGAACTTGTATGAGTTTGATTCGTGCTTCTAGCTTGTCAATTGTAAGCACTGATACCTTTCTCGAGCTCCCCCGAGGTAACTGACGCTCAAGAAGATGGGTTTCGACAAACCAGAATTCATTTTACTAAAATTAAAGATGGACCTAAATACCTGTAAGAGATCCAAATGACTGACTGGCAATGTTTGTGTCGCCAAAAGTGTTGCACGATTCTTATTTTTTAATTCTTTCTTTCAGTTCGATTTTCTCGCAACGACCTCGGCAAGGCTGACACAAGAATACGCGTTATAAGAGAAACTACGCTGCATTCAAGTAGTGTTAAACTCGGTACCGTTTCGTACAGCTACTCTGGGAACAGCGCAAAAAAATAGCGAGGCAGTTTGCAAGAAAAATTATTTTAGCGTAAATTCCTCATTTTCCATCTAAAAAAGGTCGATTAATCTCTGCTCTCTTCAAAACTTTTAGCCTTAAACATAAAAAAACGACCGTTTTTTTGCATCTAGGCCAATTTCGTCTCCCGATTTGGGCCCAGATGTGTCCTTTCCATCTCACTTGCCTACTATGACTTATATCCAGGCTACATGTTTTGCTTATAACCTGAACACCTATAAAGGTTTCAGTTGGTTTTATCAAGTGAGTCGATAGAGTAGATTAGCCACTTATTTTCCAACGGAGGACAATCTATCCTATCCCTAGGGGGACTATTTTTCTCGCCTCCCTTCCTCGACCGCTAGTAAGCCGCAACGCCCGCCCCCCGGTACACATGAAACCAAGATGGCCGCCCGTACCTGTCAGGGCTCGATCCTGACGATCTTACCAAAAAATAGGGGACTCATACTGTGAACAGTCTAGCTCTTTTGCGCACAAATGGCCGAAATTTTAACTGGCAACTGACATTTGGACCCCGCCCTCCCCCCCATCCAGACCGTCTCTGCAGAAGGGGAGAGGGCAAGAGGCGTATTGTGACACTGATAGCTGAAGGACTGGGGAGAGGGCGTTTTGTTTCATTTTGCGCCCAAAACTTTCTGCATTTCGCTCTACAAAGTTGTTATATTTTGGGTCAAAAGTTGTTACAATTCGCGTTAATGTTGAATTTTGTTGCGTAACATCTGTCGCTTACTCCAGTATTTATACAGCTTTTGTTGATTATTCTAAAAGTTCTCCACTTTTGAGTGCAGCTCATATTTTACAGTTGACGTCCGAATCCCCGCGCCTATGCTCAGGTTGGGGGGTGGGGGATTTACATGGCTGGTGCATTTATTTAAGGTCCTTAACACATGTTACTCTGCATGTGATAGGATCTAATCCATTAATCAACAAACATAATCCGATTACAATAGGTCATGTTTCGTATTCGTGACAGAATGTGGTTGTAACCACGACCAGAAAAGAGAATAAAACAAATGAAAACGTGCTTGAAAGTTAACTTCGGGAAGCAATTCTCACAACGAGTCTCAACAAAGATTGAACCGTGCTTCCTATTTATTTTTGCCCTGTTCTCGTCCTCTAAGGGAAATGGAGAAAGCCTAGGCCTATGCCAATGCCTATACCTAAATCTTTAAGGGCACGTTATTCCGCACGGCTTACATGGTCCGCTGTTCGTCTTGTCTTCGTCAACAAAATGCATTGACAGAGAAGGCCTGGGGAGACGCCGTACAGGAAGCCCACAATTAACAGCTGATAACAGTCGACAACAGAGGAATTAGGGTCCCTGTGGTGAGAGCCCGGGGGCCTCCCCCAGATCTGCCACTGTACGTTATTTAGCTGTTTGGCAAATCATGAGCCTTTTTTTCTCTATTTTTTCTCTTTATTCACTTTCTTTTTCAACGAGGCACAAGGAATACAAGCACTTTAGAAAGTTAAGCCTACAACTACAGCTCCACCTTTAAAATTCTACAGCCTCGAGATTTCACTTGGAAGGTGCACTTCATTGTTGCCTCATCGCAAGTAGACTGCCAAGACATCTGCCTCTCCAACATTGCCTGAAATTAGGAAAAACGTATTCTGGATCTTAACACTGACACAGGAATAACCACAGAGCGAGAAAAGAAAGAAGGAGCTACAACGTACATTTCTTAATAAAAAAGAGTACAATCACGTATTATTTTTTGTTGGGGGAAAACTAAGTTAAAAGGTATTTATAAAAGCTGAAATGGAGGAGGGGAGGAAAATGACCCAAACGACTTCATATTTTCACCCTGATGAACCTAATGCAGACTCGCTGCTCGGCTTGTCAATTTTTCCACTGGTGCAGAATCAATAGGCTTCACAACAAAATACAAAGCATTCGCTCGACTGCAGGGTACTTGATCAACTATAAACGTCTCGATAACCTACTATTCCAAATGTATAGACAGAGGAACATAATTAATAGTGGAACATTTGGCTTAATTTACAGGCAATCAAACTTTCGGTAATCGAACTTATAATCAAACTCCACTCGTTCAATTCACTTCGATAGAGTTCGGTAATCGAACATAATCGAACCATTGCCTCCCTTCCCAGGCACTGTGGTTATTTCTAATGAGCTTGCTTGGCATGGGGGATGGAAGGCCAGGTAAGTGTGCCCATTATTGGGTTACCAGGACCCTGGATTTTTTTTATGATTAACTCACCGTATTGGTTCCAGTTGGTAAGACCAGACAGCTTGCTGTAAAGTATCACATTCTCACGAGGCCGGAAGCGCTTCTCCCAATCGCAGTCTGGGGGCACAGTTATCACCATCCACCCAACATCTTTAGGACATCCAGCATAGACACTGTTAATGAAGAGGTGACGGCCGTTGCCTGGATCTCCACGGATTGAAAAGAAGTTGTTTGGCTGAGTCTTCATGTCAGTCCAGGAGCTCTGACTCAGTCTGGAGAGTGAAAACCAGTTGAGTTTGTCTGATCCCTTGGCATCGAATTTCAACTCCTTCATCACCTTTCCTCCTTCATACAGGACAACTCTCGCCTTTAGGAAATCAAGCAGAAATAGCATTTAATTGAATTCTTAGGCCACGTCCACGCGAATCCGGATATTTTTTAAACCGCTTATATTTTTACTCGAGTCGGCCTTTCTTTCACACCGGCATGGGCTCTTGTCCACACGAAACCACTGAATATGCTCACCAAGACCGCATATTTTTGAAACCGCTCTCCAGAGCGGTTTGAGGCCCCGTCCACACCAATCTGGTTATAAGCAACTATGTGGTTTCAAAAATGTCCGGATTCGTATGGACGAGGCCTTCATTCTACTAACTTTGAAAGTGAAGCAAACTCTTAAATTAATTGCTTTGCTCTTGTCAGACACGTAAGTAGGAACAAAAACAAACAAACCAAAAGCAAACGAAATTATATTATTTATAAGGTGTTGACTATTATATATATTTTCTTTGCAGTAAGTATTTTCATTTAATAAGGGATCATTACATGCAATCTCCGGCATGACAAAAGTAGAAGACATGGCATCAGTACCCTGCAAAGGGCAAGGGGGGATAAGGGCGCGCGACATCGCGAACGACGCACGAGGAAGAAGATACTCGCGCGAATAGCCGCCTTTTTCTTCCCCATCAAACGTCTGCCTCGCCTGATTTTCAGACGCTCCAGGTCGCTCGCTTTCACGTACGCTTCCACGCATTCTCTCGTGGCCCACGAGCAACCTGCATGAGCTTCTTAGACCCGGTCTGTCATGCAGTTAGAGCAGATAGAGCATTTTACTGGCAGATTTATGAATGCAATGTGACAGCAGAAATAAAATAAAATATATAATACCTCCGTTGGTCCAATGTCTTGCCACTTTAAAACGATCCTGTTTTTGTAGTGGTTAAAGTGCCTGTTAGAGACTTCAAGAGCTGCAAAGACTTTTTCAGAGGATGTCTGATCAGATGTGTATGTACTATACACGTTTTTATTCACTCCAGACACAGCCTTAAACGCCATAGTCCAGCCTATAAATAGCAGGAGAAACAAAAGTCTCTATAAGAACAAAGGAACAGACCAATTTTGATCATGATGTATTAAAATTCATACTTGGCTCCGAGGCTTGGGAGAATAATACAAACGAAATGTACTATTCATTGCTGAGCCTTAAGCCCTCGCAGCCAAGTATATATGAATTTTTAACAGTCAATAGCTTTCATTCGGAAATAGAGTATTCACTTTAGACTCTTCCGGATTTAAAATATTCTGGCACACCACCAGATCGAGACTTTTACTTTGAATTTACCATCTTTACGCAACTATATATGTATGTTGGCAAAACACCCATTTCCGATGTATGTTGGCAAAACACCCATTTCCGAGTCCCCCGAAGCAGAGTGATATCTATTTTGGATACTTCAGTTTTCACGTCCCAGTCTATAGATATTTGCAAATTCCAATTATATTTTCATTAAGACTAACATTGTGATTTATGTGTTATGGACGGCGTTCTTTTAGGTATTTCATGGGCGCGAAAATGCAATTTTCTCACTGAATGAATAAATTAAGATGAAACTGAATTACTCACCTCCAGCGGCCATATCACAGTATACTGGGAAAGGCTTCTCATCATCTGTAAGTTTAAGAGATGTTTTATGCAATGGTTAGTTCTGGTGCGGTGGATGAGCAGTTTTAAACACCTCGAACTTCAAATAGTTACAGCTGTAGCAGTCTGCGTTCACGCCCGTGTCTTTTAAGACAAGAAATGTTTTCCAGTATGTCTCAAATTTAACCCTGGGCTGGGCCCGCCCTGGGGTTGTTCTAAAGGTGAATAAAGCTATCCGTTGGATTAATCTCTATCCAGTGGTAACACAATTAGTTTCCTTAATACCTATCCTCTGGATAGGGATTTAGCCGGTTGACATGATGGATGGCGCTATCCAACGTTTCAACAACGGGGCCTGGAAAATACTACCTGGGGTAGGCCGGCAATAGACTGGCAACTCTTTCATGTACTGTGCAAAGCAATGTTATAGAAACCTTCCTCACATAAATCTCCATTCACTTCCTAAAAGTAATATATAGATTCAGCCAGGGCTAAAAGCGAAGCTCTCGATAATATTTATAGTTTGTTCAAACAAAATATAAAATCGTGTAATGCTAAGCGGCGAAGGCAACGCCGGAGAACGGTGAAAAACAACAATAGGTATAATTGGCAAAAAAGCAACTTTGCTTGTGCAGCACACTTTTTTTCTAAATTTCTACAACGTGAATACGTGTTCTCGTTCACTTTTTTTTCACTGCCGCTCATTATCACCTTGCATTGGTGGCCGCTAAAATTTCTTATTTTGTCACCGCCGCTACAAAATTTTCATGTCATTCTTCCAGCAGAAAAATGACTCCTTGTTTTTTTATCTCTCGCTCTAGATCTCTGTCGCCCTTTTTCTCGTTGAGCTTTCTGTCTTTCCCCTGCTCTATATTCCAAATTTGTGGACATGACAATTAATCTAAGCTAAATACTTTAGACAAAACGGATACAGAAACAATTTCCGCTTTCCGTTTTCGTCTTTATTCAGGCTCTTTAGTTGTCTCTGCTTTACAAGACGGCGGTGGCTATGCGATTTCCCACCAAAATAACCTCGAATTGCATTTGGGTTGCCATACCAGTTGATTGAGTTATTTTACATTGGTATGTCTGTGGTGCGGACGGACGGTTGCTCGGCCAATTTTCTCCGATGGGTAGATTTACTTCATTTTCTTACCCATGGTGCTCCGCTGGTGCGCTTCGGCGCGAGAGCTCCGCTATTATTTGAGAGAATTTGATAAGGATTAAAGCATTTTGCATTTGATTATCAGTTAACAATTATTTTACTGGGTAAATATTTAGAGGGAGTTGTCAACCGCCAATTTTTATCAATTCTTTGAATGAAGAAAATCATGAAACTATACTCATAATATCAATTACATTAACTGTTACTTTTATAGCATACGCGTACAGAAAATGGTCAGAGTGAATAGTAAATATTTACTTATTGTATCATACCAAGAGACTATAAAGGGGACAGAGAGGGCATCCCCCATATACACCCTATTCCATAGGTAATTCGTCTCGAGTTATTTTTAGAATCGGGATAAAGTTACCTCGCACGAGGCGTGGGTGTTTCGTTGAGGTTTCGCATGACCAAACGCCGTGCAAAACATGTCGGGCGAGAGGCAATGAAAGCGTAAAAAGATCGAGAGCATTCCTGAATATTGAAGCGAAATGAGTCGGGGGTCACCTGGGAAAAAGGAATCGCTGGACTCTTTGACAACCCGTGAAATCAGTTTAACTCGAAGTTGTCGTAACTTCAGTGCTTTAATAAAATGAGAAATTTCGCCGGTCTATTGAAACCGGTCGTTTGTACAATTTAGGGAGTTTAAGATCCAACGACGCGGACGACAACTAGAACGTCAAAAAACACAATAGGTTTAATTAGCAAAACAACAACTTCGCAAGTGCAACACACTTTTTTGTTCATTTCTTTCCCGTTTTTGTTTTTACGACGTGAAAATGCCTAATTTCGCGTTTTATGGAGGACGTAAATAAGCAACGACGAAATTTTATTTCTCTTTCTGAGCTTGAATATGGTCCCTTGAAATTCAGCTTTAGGAGGGTTCGCCTACAATTGACAAAGTAAGTGGGTAGGAATAATCGCTATAAAGACTGAAAAAAATAAACATCAAACCAGAAATTGCTCTCTTTAAACTGTAAATTATAAATGATCCTGAGAGAATATTCATTTCAGTCATTTCGTGAAGGACGCGTGTCTCTCAGCGTGGGTCATCCACGCGGAACACATTTGCGCTATGTGATTGGCTGTTGTCTAATCCCCCTTGAGATCTGTGGTGTTAAAAATAACTCGAGACGAATTACCTATGGAATAGGGTGTATATGGGGGATGCCCTCTCTGTCCCCTTTATAGTCTCTTGATCATACCCGTTAGCCTGATCCAATAAATGCCATTTTGTTTTCCATCATTGGTGTTGATATCTTTACATGAAAAACCTGGATTAGCTTTTGATCCATAAGGAGCTTTGGAACAGTCATCTGTAGAGGCGCAGTAGTAGGTATGGGCACAATGACAGTTGCAGGCATTGGAATATGAAGGGTCTACCATGCATAACACGATTCCACTAACAATGAGGACTAGCTTGGTTAGATGATGCATGTTAAATGAAGTCTGTAAAAAGAACTAAAAAGAACAGACCGTATTTATTTACCGTATTTATTCGAATAAGCGCCCAACCTCGAATTAGCGCCCACCTTGAAAAAGCGCCTATCCTAAAGGCAGAAAAAAGTTAATAAGCGCCCAGCCTCGAATAAGCGCCCACCCCACCCAACTCCCTCCCACAAAACCACCAATGAGAGATAATAAGAGACCCTCCCGAAGACGGAGTTTTCTTCAGGGTATTGTACAGAAACCTTGCTTTGTTACATCTTCGCTTTTTGTTATTAGCATTTACTGTTTTGTTGCAAAATATACTTTTACGCTTGCTGAGAATGGTGAAAATTTAATAAGCGCCCAGCCTCGAATAAGCGCTCACCTCGAATAAGCGCCCACTCTCAAGGTCCAAAAATTTAATAAGCGCCCAGGGCGGTTAATCGAATAAATACATTATTACGGGTTAAAATGACACACCTTTTGTAGACTTCCAGACTGATTAGAGATTCATCCAGCCTGCGAGTAAGCTCTCCATTTGGGGGAGTGATGAGAGAATCACGCGAGAGCTGCACTCGAAAGGAGACGCGAGTGCGAGGGAGGGGGACGGGAGAAAGAAAGAGGGGAACGAAAGAAAGGAGAAAGAAAAGGCTAAATTCTACTTACTGCATAAAGCGTCTTGCTAGGGAACAAACTGATTCTAGTATTTAGCTTACCTAAACTCCATCTTAATCTTCCGAAAGAGAGCTAGCTAGAGCAATTATTTTTACAGTGCAGGTCCTACTCAAGCTGAGAGATCACATTAATTTTTACAACGTCAATTTCAGTTTTCTGGGATTTGTACTGAAAGCGCCTGTAAAATGCAGCCTTGTGCTCAGATGCTGCTTGTTTTTGTTGCTCAGTATTAACAGATTAATAATCGAAGTGTTCTTTCGCGAGCTTAAACTCCTGGTCCTTTTTAGCGTATATGTTATAAAGAGAAAATTCCACAAGGTCTTTTATAACGCGCTAACAATACTTACAGCAATATAAAACTGTTTTGAAAGTTTCCAACGAAAAAGTTTTACAAACCTCTCAGGAACTTGTGAAGGCAAAAAGCAGAAAATAGCACAAGAATTGGGAATTTCACAACGTCAGTCTTTTCCTTGATTTAATCCTCGGGGTGTCCTTCAATTACTGATAGTGTACTGATTTTTACATTAGCTTTATAGCCAGGTGAAAGTTGTATTGGCTCAAATCAAGGGTAGGAATTGATGAACTTGGGCCTGGGTACCTGACGAACATCCGAGTTGTCAGGTCACTGACCAACAGGTATTTTGGAGGCCCACTTCTCCGGGAGGAGACTCTCATATAAAAGTGAAGGGGCTGCTGAGAAGTTGTTGGAACACTAAACACTACATAATAACCACCATACGGCGCACGGCCGCGCACCTATACCACACAATGAATCACCACAGAGTGCAGCTACCACACGGTGCATCTATCACATGGTGCACCTACCACACATTGCACGGATCCAGGTTCCTCAATTACCTCACAGTGCACCGACCCAAGTTCTTCACCTACCACAAGGTCCATCTATGACATGGTGCACCTACCACACAGTGCGCCGACCCAAGCACTTCATGCACCTACCAAACGGTGCACCTACCGCGTGGTTGACCCAGGTTCCTCAATTACCACACAGTGTACCGACCCAAGCACTTCATGCACCTACCACACAGTAATACTTAGTGCGATAGAATTTTTTCCTCTGCTTTTACTCTAATGGAATAAAATAAATTCAAGTTTAAAGACTGGCGTGGATGATATCACATGCACAGGCTTTTGAAAGCAAGCGATGGCCAAAGAAGAATAATTAATGGCCTTTTAAACCCATGTCACCAATTTTGCAACCAATGGATAATCACCGTCATATTCTAAAGATTGTCGCTCTAATTGCAATCATTGATATACGCAATCGCTAATTAAAAAACTATAAAACAACGAGAGAAATGAAGGGGAAAATTAATGGCTCCTGCACATATATAACGCTGCCCTTATCTCTTATACATCCGGCAAAGGAATGAATATCCATTGACTAAGACGGAATCCATCAGGAGTAATTTTAATTTTTAGTGGACAAAAACTTTGTACCAGAATAATTCAAACAATATCGCATTCTTTTTTACAGTTTTCAAGGGCTTATTACGTGCAATAACACCAGAGACTATTTATCATGGCGAGCCCGAGCAAAGAAATGTCAAATTTCACAAGAATTGTGAAAACACAGGTAAAATTCTGAAAATTTCATCTGTAAGACTACCCTGGGTGCCAGAGTTTTTTTTCTGTCGTTTGCGGCGAAAATTGAGCGGCGAAGCCTCGATCGTGACGAGCGGGAGAAAAACCCCTCTGGTCACCTCTGGTCACGGCAGTTACGAACCTCACTTCCATAAGTACAGATTTTGAACTCGGTCTCTGATTGGTGCTCGAATTTAGTCCCAGACCTTTCCGAGTGATAATGATCTAA